CACACACACACACCTCTTCCACTGGCCCATCTGTTGTCCTTTGTCCAACCACTGCCTGTTTTATTCTGGTTTTAATTCATCTGAAGCAGCTGTTCATGCACTGAACACATCTGCAGTGTTTCTATGAGTCTGTCTCAGCAGCATCACTAGGACGAAGGCCCTTTTTCTTTTCTTCACAACCTTGAGACACATTGAGAGTGTTGTGATGCTTGAACTCCTGCTAGCTGCTGTATTTCTGCTCATATATGGAGGCTTGAGTTCGTTCGTCTTTAATGGCTGCTGCTCTCTTTTAGCAGCCCCCCCTGTAGCTTCTAGGTTCAGCCGATTGCAGAGCTCATGTGTTGTTAGCTTCCCAGCTGCCTCTAAAGGGAACAGCCTGTTCCCTTTCTGCTGGAGCTCACTGGGAGGCCACGCTGCTTAATTATATGACAGTCACGGCATTGTTTGGGTGTATGACGAGACCCCATTGACTCTGATTTTTGTTAACTTCTGTCTGCCTCAGTGGCACGGAGACTCAAATCTCCGAGGGCGGCACGGTGTGGTAAATAAAATCATATTGCGATATGATTAATGATTAGTTTGGGAATCACAATTTAAATCTTCACTGAAAAAAAACTATTAAGAATCAGGATGATGTGACATTTATTGGAAGCTTTTTCGACCTTATTGAGATAATATTTAGATGAATTGTGCAGCCGTATTCTCCCCCGATTATTAGAGCCTTTTATTTCTAGATCAACTGAAACTGTGTCCTTCATCTTGCTTTATAATGTGTTCATTGACTTAAACCAGAGGCACTGATGACATGACTGACTTTATCTTCTCCAGCACACAATGGCTGTCCCTCCTTCATACTCAGACCTGGGCAAGGCTGCCAAGGATATATTCAGCAAGGGCTATGGTGAGTACAGTTTTAGCCCAAAGAGAGTAAATTATTAACTGTGAGGAATTCCTGAAGCACGGAGCCGGTTCAGATGTGGTGTTTCAGTGGAGTCGAGCTGTTCAGACTCGTCTCCAGAGCCCAGGTAGATTGATGGAAACGGTTAATGTCAGTGGCAGTGGGGCAATCTGCAATATGTAGCTTTAAAGGAGGTGTGTAATGTTTGAAAAGACACCCAGAAAAGTCCCGTTTTTATACTATTTGAGATAGGAGTCGGCAAAATGGATTAAAGTATCTATCTCTGTGTATTACAATGTCTCTATATATCAGGATATCATACATTTTACTTGAAGATAAATTTTTTGATGAGTAATGGTCAGATATCCAGACATGACTGTGTGTTTACCAGTTACTTTATCACATCGATGCAAAAGTTATATCAAGTGTTATTCAAATATCGGCATTAATCAGTTCTGCTCATTGATTTAAAACTCTGCCACGATGACCTGGTACACCGAGAGACATTAAGGAGATAGCTAATAGAGCAACGATAAGTCGATTAATCCAACAGAAATATTAATTATCTTTAGTGACATATTTTGATAACAAATCCCCATTTAAACACACACTCATGCACACACACAGGTAGAAGGATCCCAGGAGACAGAAGCTCTTAACAGCACATATCCCATAATATGTTTATACCATATTAAATACAATCCATCAGAAACATGAAGGTACCAAACAAAGAAAAACAGAATGAATATATTCATACAGATGGAGGGATGATATGATTTTTTTGAACAGAAATGAGATTAAAGACAAATTATGACTGAAAGACAAAAATCTAACCCGTATATTTTCTGATTTTCTTCATCAAATTATAGAATCGTTTTTATTTCTGAGGCAATTTATGCAAAACACTGCATATTTCCTTTTCTTTTTTAAAGTAAAACTGATGTTTTTGCGCCCCAACAACACGATTGATTTTCATTTCACAGATTAACATCTTTAGATATTTGTATCATGATAAATTCCTATAAAAGGATCCAGAAATTTTTCCTATTTATGGTAAAATTTAAAATAACTCGATGGCTCTAACTTTCCACGTGAAGAACTGAAACAAGTTCATGCAGCCAGTTTCTGAAGCACGATGCAGACGAGTCTTCAAGGCTTTGAGAATATGTTTTTAATCCAAATATTCCTTTTAAATCTTGTTGTATTTAATGTCTTTGCTTTTGAAACCCACCAGGCTTTGGTGTCGTGAAGCTGGACCTAAAGACCAAATCACAAAGTGGAGTGGTAAGTACATTAATTATTCATTCTTTCTTTAATAACCTGTTTTCATTATCCTGATGCTCTCTGCCATCGGTCCATCTCCCTCTCCCCTCCCCCTCCTAACGCTCCTTATTCGTCCTAACTGACCTGAACCCTGTGACCCGGAGCTTGAAGGTTTTCTAGGTTGACGAGCAGCGCTGATGCCGACCTGCTTTGGGCTGAACCTGCGCTCTGTTCTAGAGAAACACGACATGCCCATGTTTTTGTTTTAGAGGCCTGTCTGTCTCTCTCTACCTGCCTTTTTCCTAACCGCTGCTCTGTCTCCATTGCTGCTGCCGTCTGTACCGGACTGCTCGCACTCTAATGTAGATGGTAAGATCGGAGTCAGAGCTGACAGCTGTGTGTTCACATAACGACCCACCAACATCACGATGCTCATTCGCACATTGTTGTTGTTTTTGTTTCTTTTATTTGTCTTTGTGATAATCATTCACACAGCATGAATATTAATGTGTTTTAGAACTGTTATTTGATTTCCATGTTTTCTCACATCACCTAATCTCACGTTAAGTTTAGGGCTGAATTTAAATGATCAATATATCTGCAAGTAATTATATTAATTAGTCAGTTCATCATTTGGTCTATAAAGTGTCAGATAATAGTGAAAAATGGATGGTATTTCCTAAAGCCCAAAGTGACGTCTTAACTATATTAAACATACTTTTTCATAATAAATTAGGCAAATTGAATCACGTTTAAACTGCTGTTTATACACAGTGCACACTGAAACACATTTCCCTTTTTACAGCCTCCCAGTAAAATAAGCTTTTTAGACGGATACAGGCAGTATATATTAGACTTCTTTAACAGCCAGAACCCTGTATGATTGTTATTATTGTATGTTCTGGCTCAGGTTAAACTACAGAGATGAAGGCCATTGCTGACATTTAGTTAGCTCTGGCTATCAGAAATGAACTCTTCTTCACTGCTCTAAAACAGTAGTAGTGCTCCCCGACTCTAGCTAGTACTAACACTTGTTGGTTTAGGCATGAGGAGTGAGATTGGGTAGGGATAGAAAGGTCAGGGTGAGCCATTCAGAGTCAGAGTGGAGCAGGTCGTGACTTCGCCATCCTGGGGGAAAGAAAATACGAACAGGACGCAGCTAGAGAGTAGCAGGGTCTCGGTTTGGGGCTAATAAATGATGTGATATCGGATCAGAGACTTTTCTTCTAGCAGCATAATGAAGTAGATTCAGGGTGAAATATCTACAATTATTTTACAGATACAGTCTGAACTTTGGTGAACATCAACATGCAGACCCACTGTAGACTCTTATTCAGTCAGTCAGTCTGTTCACACCAGAAGCATTTCTCTGCACTAATCACACGTAGAGCTCGCCTCATGAATTATGTGTTTGCCGATAAGAGGGGGTGCCGCCTCTTCTGCAGCAATTAAGTTAAAAGGATGATCTTGTGATGGTCTGCGAGGAGAGAGCTCCTCTTCCTCCTGTGTGTGCGTCTGCTTGTCTCTCTGGTTAGACACAACTGACAAATATGTGGAATAAGTACGTTAGGTTAAAGATACTGTTTCTAATAGATATAGTGGACGGGCAGGTTTTAATATTTCATCACGTGGGGGAGAAAACTGGGAGAAATATTTAATCATTTACCAGAATCAGTTCATTTAATTCAATTATTAATTTCCGTATGAATGAATCATTTATTTAAAGGACCGTCCGGGTTTTGATTTTACATATTTTAGGGGCGTTTTTGTAAGAGACGCGATAAAGAAAAGACAGGAAACGAGAGGCGAGAGAACGACACGCAATGAAGGTCTCGTTTCGGTTCCTATGGGCCACAAGGAAGCCTTTCACTTTGTGCTTTTGAGGATTCAGTTTATTTCTACACATCACAGGGTAGAGCGGGTTTTATTATAAAGAACGGCAACAAAGCAATGTGATTTACAATAAAACTCAACATTTTGTCCACAAGTACTTAGACATTCAGTCATTCTCTGTAGTGCAGCAGATTTCCTTTCAGCTTTAATTTGAGGGTTTATATCCAGATACAGAGAATATTTTAGGAATTGTCGCCCTGTCATTGTCCACAAATTGCCGACTGTGTCCTAAACCCTCTTGTTTACTCATTCACTACTCTTTATATAACAGACGGTCAGTAGTTTACTCAGTAGTGAGCATAGACAGTGTAATGAAACATGGATGTCGTCTCTGTAAAGTCACTCGCAGGTTTTTGAAGAACTGTTGTGAAGCTGTAAACATCTTAATTCCTAAACAAACCCTAAATTCATCGAGTTAGAAAATGGCTGCAATGGCTGTTGGCCACGTTAGCTAACTGACAGACTCAGGTTGTTATTGTCAGTGTCTGACAGCATTATGAAAGGATCCCTACAGAGATAGACCTTTAGTTTAACCACAAACAGCCGTAATATCACTATCACTCTCCACCAGACTCCAGAGACACAAACACTCATTTCTACCTCAGATCCATACGTACATCATTCAAACAGAAACAGAATAAAACTCATTGAAACCTTCCTTGTTATCAGACGCTGTCATAATAATGATGGTGTTTGTGTCCTCAGATTGATGTAATGAAGCAGGTTTGAAAACATAATATTGATGATGTAATTTAAGTGAAGTCTTTGTGGTCATTTAACACAGAATCAGCCAGAAATGTATGATTTTAACAGACACCAGCCAGCCAATCAGAGTGCAGGATTCTCAGTGGTGTAAAGTACAAACTGTAGACCAAAGTAGTGTGTGTGTGTGTGTGTCCTAGTTTTCCAGATGACTGGCCGCTCTGCAGGGACCATCTATCTGTCCACACCTCGCCCTCCTTCTCTACTTCCGCTCTTCCTTGTTCTCCCACCGCTCCATTCAGCGTCCTCATCTTCCTCCCGTGAGCATCCTCCTCATCTCTCCATCCACAGCCCTTTTTCTGCCTCTGCACACCTCATCCCTTCTTTCTTCTGCCCTCTTTCCATCCATCTCTTCCTCTCAGTTTATAATCCTTAAAGAGTAACAGCTGCAGCCGCTTTGTTTTTAGTTGCTTCTGCTCTATCTCTGTAGGGATCCTTT